GTTTAACTTTTACAAATAAAAAAACTTACATATAGCAGGATATTATAAAATTAAGTTATGAAATTTTTATTAAAACTTTTCTTACATACCGTTAAAAAATATATACATAATTTTTTTATTTTCTTTATTGACTAAGGTATTACATATGTGTCCTCATCCCCCTCTTACCTCCTCTCACCCCCTCCCGCCCCCCGCCTGCCTTTTCTCTTAGGAACATGGGAACTGGCTTGCTTCTTCCCCCCAACCCTCCACTCCCCCGTCTTCTATTTGCAAGAGAATCACCTAGAAGAGAGCAGGGGAGAAGAAATTAGAACCAGGTTTAGACCTTGCTCTGCCACGCCTCATCTGTGGACTTAGGGCAAGGTACCTAACCTTTCTGTTTCCTCATCTGTAGAATGGAGATAAGGACCTTGCTTACCTCATGTACTAGTATTGTTCAGAGGCACAGAGGATACTAGACAAAATTCCTGTCTCTTAACTGCTCTGAAGCCTAGCAGGGGCGTTGGACAAGCACACGCACAGTGTGATGTGTACCATGTCAGAGGCATGTTTGGGTGCAGTAGTGGGAAGAGTGAAGGCACACTAACTCTATCTAACAAGGGGAAACTGCCCGGGCTGTGGGGCGTGTGGCAAGGCGAAAGCAACTCTTCAGAGCTTTGGACTCTGCTGTTTGCTGAACGCCAGATGCTGTGTTAAGTATTTTACCATGTTTTATTTAGTCCTCACAGCAAGCCCGTGAGATAAGTGTTATCATCCCCATTTTATAGACGAGTAAACTAAGGCTCAGAAAGGCTCATGCGTTGACCTGGCATAGTATTTATTGAGCGCCCAAGTCCCTCCCTCATGGAGCTTACATTCCATGAAGTCACTTGCCCAAGGTGAGTCTGGAATGTTCCAGAGCTCAGAGTCAAACCCAAGTCTGGTGGCCTCCTGGGCTTATGCTTTTCCCACCTTACCTCAGAATTCACTGCCCCTCAGGACTTTGCTCCCATGGGGGGCATCGACCGTCTCAGAATTCAGGAGCAAGGCTGGGTCAGGGATAAGAGAGGAGCTGCTGCTTCTGTACCAGTAAAGCCCTGTGTGTCCCCACAGCCTGGCCCCAAAGAAAGGCTGAATGCCTGACCACTCAGATGTTTTCCCCAGGGAGGGATGGAGGGCGGAGCTTCCTCAAGGGGATTTCAAGGGAGGATAGGGGTGCTGCCTGTGCTCCGTCAGGGAGTGACACCCTCTTCCTGGCTGAGGTGGGGAATCCCTTTGGATTTCACTGGGTTTACGGGAGGGGCCTGCTGTTTCTCTTCCGCTCAAGCCCCCTTGGGAGGAACACAGGACCAGGGTAAATCAAAGGATTGAGTCGCCTCTGGCTTCTGAGTGACCTCTGGGCTCAGCTCTGCACTGCCCTCAGCCTCCGCCTGCCTCTTGATCTTAGGAGACCTGGGGCGCTCCCACTGGGCAATGACATTTCCTGTTAACCCAAGGAAACAATCAGAGATTTGTAAACCTCCTCCACTAAGAAAAAAAGATACAGGATTTTTTGTTTTAGCATTTGCTCATAGTAGCAGTCACTTGGAAGCAGTCTATTTAGACAATATTTAATTGAGTATTAAATAAAAATATGATAAAAGTATGCATTCAATGGAATACCATGCAGCCATTGAAAACCACCATGTAAGAGAAAATTAAATGACATGAGAAGAATGCTTACAACCGTTTAGTCAAAATTCATGACTAAAACAAGATACACAAATCACAATGTACAACGGGATCTTGTTTTTAAACAATCTATAATAATAAAAGCATAATATGCTAATTAGACCGGACGTCCTTCCGGATGACCTTCCGAATGAAGCCAGGACTGCGAGGGAAGCCCAGGTCCTGAGTGCCAGAGGGAAACCGGTGCCAGCAACCAGCGGAAGGAAGGCTTATACTTGCACAAATTTCGTGCATCGGGCCTCTGGTATGTCTTTACGTGTACATGAGAGCGTCTAGAAGGGTGCATAGCAAATGTGGACAGTAGTGTTCTCTGGGCAGCAGAACTTCAGTGACTTGTTTTCTTCTGTTTTCAATATTTTGCAGTCCTTGCAGTGAGCATGCTTTTTTCTTTTTCTTTTTTTAAATCATGGAGAAAAAATCCCAGTAATGTATTTTAGAGACAGAAGAGGGAGAGAATGGCATCTTTTGGCTTTGTACTTAGATGACCCCGGGCCCCACCCAGAGTACTTGGCCAGGGGCCAGCTTGAGGAGAATTAGCTGGGCATTGTTGTCCAGGTCTTGTCTTAATGTCATCTCCCAGAGAGGCCACCAGATCACATAACCTGGCTGGAGGAGGCCCCTCCCACATTTTTTCTCCCTCTTTCACCCCATTTTATTGTCTTCATTGCACTTGTCTGTGGCTGAAGTGACTAGCCTACACATCTGTTTCCTGGGTGGTTATTTGTCTCCTCCACAGAAGGCAAGCTCATGAGAACAGCGCCCTGACGTCTTACTCCCTCTGACTTACCATCTGGAGCAGGGGTCCGACTGAGATCTTGGTTTGTAAGGACCGGAGCAGCCCCAATGTGGGCATTGATCCTAAGGCTGCATGTGACAGTGAGAACCTGGAAATAGCTCCATGGGAGTCTAGAAATAGGCACATAGCCAGCTCATAGGGCCAGAACTGCATGAAGCTTTGCTACCTGTCACACCTGCTCCAGCTTGGTAACAATGGCTGTTATTTACAGGTGTTGTGGGAGTGCCAGCTTTGTGCTTTACATTCTATAACTGAGTGGAGGGAAGGTAGAAGCAATTTATCTTATCATCCATTTCCCTTGCTTCTGGTGCCTCTGCAGTGACAGCCCACTCTGTCTTCCAGCTCACAACTTCCGCTCCTCTCTTTTAAACCTGTTCCAATCAGGTTCTCATCCCAACCATTCATTCCACTGAGTCTGCTCTTGACCAGGATCACCTGTGACTCCAAGATGCTAAATCCAATTATGAATGCTGTCTTTGTATGACCTGACCTATCACAGTGGATTGCTCCATCCTCCTTGAAGCCTTTTCTCCTATTGTACTTGTTGCTCCTTCTTAGTCTCCCTGGCTGAGCGATTGAATGGGGCTCAGTCCTTAGACAGCTTCTCTGTTAACAGTCACACCCTTGGTGACATCCTACTATAAAAAGCTACCTACTGAATGCTTAAAAATCTTCATTTTCACCCTGGACACCTCCTCTGAACTCAAGACTCAACTATCTGCCTGCCTACAGGCCTCTCCACTTGAACATCAAAAAGGCATCTCATACATAACATGTCTGAAACTAAGTTCCCTATCTTACCCAAACCTGCTCCATCGCCGGGCTTCTGCAGTCCAGTGACGGCAACCCCATCCTCCCGTTCCCTCAGGCCAAACACCTCCTGGATTCCTTTATTTTATACCCCACTCCCAATCCTGTGGGCTCTACTTTCTGGAATCTGACCATCCCTTAGTACCTCCATGCTACCTCTCAGGTCCAAGCTGCCATCACTTCTTGCCAGGATTCCTGCCTATGTTCTACCTATCCTCCCAATTTATTCTTTAACAGTGTCCAGATCACTTGTTAAAATGTGAGTAACATCATGTCACTTCTCTGTGTAAAAGTTCCCAGTGGCACCCATCTCAGTCAAAGCTCAAGTTTACACAGGGCCTTCTATTGATTCTCTGCACACTCTGGAACCTCTCACTACCTCTCTGATTCCCCGTCTTTCTTCCCCTTTATTCACTCACAACTCTGGCTGCACCATCCTCCCCACTGAGATTTACCATGTCAGGCAGGCTCTCACCTCTGAGCATCTGCACATTCTGTTCCCTCCATCTAGGAAGGCTCTTTCCCATTAATTCTCAGGGTTTGCGTCCTAATTTCTTTCAGGTCTTTATTCATAATCCACCTTCTCAGATGTCTGGACTTCCCTGGCCACACTATTTAGAATGTTGGCACCTCTTCCTACCTCCTGCCCCAACACTCCCTTCCCGCCCTCTCCTGCTTTATTTTTCCTCCAGAGCACTTACCTCTTCTGATTGCTATATAGTTTATTTATTTATGTACTAGAGGCCCAATGCACAAAATTTGTGCATGGGGGGTGGGGAGTCTCCTCAGCCCAGCCTGCACCCTCTCCAATCCAGGACCCCTCGGGGGATGTCCAACTGCTGGTTTAGGCCCGATCCCATGTAAACCAGCAGTCGTACATCCCTCTCACAATCCAAGACGGCTGGCTCCTAACTGTTGGTTGCCCCACGCAACCTTCTGTTCAGTCATTTAGTTGTCGCTCACTAACCCCCCTGCTGGCCTGGTCACCCCACACAGCCTTCTTGTTCAGTTGTTTGGTCGTCCCTCACTAACTTCCCTGCCAGCCTGGTCACCCCACACAGCCTGCTTGCTCAGTCGTTTGGTCGTCCCTCACTAACCCCCTTTCCCCCGGCGGCCTGGTCGCCCCACGCAGCCTGCTGTTTGGTCATCCATCTGGTCATTTAGGTCGTGACGGCCCCTGGCGTTTTATATATTAGGATTTGGTTGTTGGTCTCTCCTAATAGACTGCAAGCTCCATGAGGGCAGGAGGTTTTATCTTGTTTTGTCTACTACTGTACCCCCAGAACCCAAGGACAGTGCCTGGCATATAGTAGGTGTTTAATAAATATCTGATACATAGCTATATGAATAAAAATGTATGAAATAGCCACTTACTGTTTATACAAGGCCTTGAGACGTGATGGAAAGAGCACTGGGGTTCCTGCCAGTGTGAGAGCGTTAACAGGCTGCTGAGAAAGAAATTCCCCAAGAAGAGAATATCCCTGTGTAGAAGTCCTGGTGCCTGTGCCTGCCCTGGGTCACCGTTTAGCCAGCTCAGACTTCAGTGGCTTCTGAACTCGCCACAAAGGCATACGCATCACTCAGTTTCCATCCAGGCTTGCTTTGCCCAAAGGCCCACCCAGTGTTCTGCCTCAGTCATTCACTCTCCCCCTCCTTTTTTTTTTTTTTTTTTTTTTTTGTCCAGGTGCCAGTTTGCAGCCTATTGGAGGAAAACAGCATCAAGGTAAGAGAACAATGAGACTGTGTATAGTTCAGGACTTCTCAGCTTCAAAGCCTTGGAAGGTATTCAGGGAAGACCAGAGTGCTGAAGTGTTGGCAACTGGATAAAGTGAAGGTCCAGGGGACTTGTGTGACTTCCTGAATAGAGTGTGGGCACTGGGGACAGCGAGGACAGCTCGTATGGAGGGTGAATCAGCAGGGGTGGCTGTGAGGTCGGGAGAGCCGGAAGGACAGTGCCTCCCTTGGGAAAACATGACAATCTCCACCAAACCAGTTGTGGGCCACAGCCTGGTCCTCCTGCTCTGCCTCCCTCCAGGCCTTGCCCCATACTCGCTCTCTCTGGAGGGTCTGCCCTGCCTGCTGCAGTCAGGACAGGCCTGGGCAGAGTGTCTGTGTGTGTGTGTGTGTGTGTGTGTGTGTGTGTGTGTGTGTGTGTAAGCATCTTGGTTTCGTTCTAGATCTAGAGGAATATGCTAGGATGTTTCCAGTTTAGAGGTTTTCTGAGTCTGTTAAATCACAGTCCAAATTTCAAAAACTGAAAGTCCTCAGCAAATAGTGGATGCGAGGGAACGTGCACCGAAGTGGGGGAATGTGCTGATGTGATTGGAAAGGGGCAGCTTTTAAAAATGTGTGCAGCCTTTGACCAAGCAATTTCGTTTTCTGGAGTTGACCTTGGAAAACAATCACATTTGTGCAAACGTATGTGTACAGAGATATTTATAACTGCATTGTTTGTGATAGGGGAAAAAAAAAAAACATTGGAAAGCCCAACAAAACGGCAGGGGTCATTTAAAATCTGGCACATTGCCCCGGCTGTGTGACTCGGCTGGTTGAGTGTCGTCCTGTGCACCAAAAGGTCAGTGGTTCGATTCCCAGTCAGGGCACATGCCCAGGTTGCAGGTTCAATCCCCAGTCAGGGTGCATATGGGAGGCACCCTATCCATGTTTCTCTATCACATCGATGTTTCTCTCTCTCCCTCCTCCCCTCTAAAAATCAATAAAAACATTTAAAAAAATTTTAAAAATCTGGCACATCCGCACAAGGGCATGTCATGCAGCAGGATGACCTAGGTATATATTTATTGACAAGAAGGCTTTTGCATATATTGCTAAGTAGAAAAAAAAAAGAAAAATGGGAAAAGCTTATGAAACATGTCAGGAAAGTAGCTATGGCCTCTGCCTGGAGAGTGGCAGTCCAGAGCAGTCTCTTGACCAGCGTGGACTCAGGCCAGGGATAACGGCTCTCCCTTAGCCGCAGCTTCTTGCCTGGAAAAGGGCACAACACCTGCCTCACAGAGTTATGAGGATTCGGTGGGATTAACAGGGCTAGAGCCCCCAGCACAGGGTCTGGGCACGCGCTGAGTGCTCTGCAGCTGAACTCTGGACCAGAAGTATATTTACCTGCGTATAAACCTGGGAACATTCTGGAAATCTAGAAACAAATAGTGGTTTTATTTGGCTGTTGGAGTTATGGGTGATTTTCCATATTTTCTTATTTTTCTACAAGGAATACTTACTACTTATATAATGGTGATGTAATAAGAAAGGAAGTAACAATTGAAAAGGTTAAACAAATAAAAATGAAAAACTGCAATGCTTTTGGCAGGCCGGCCAGCCGAGCAGCCCCCGGGGCAGAGCTCGGGAGGACTGAGGTAGAGGCGGGAGGAGGGGAAGGAAAAGAACAAAAAAGACGGTTAGGCCTGAGGGCTGGTGCCCAAGTGGTGCACCTCAGAGGTAAGGCTCAAGGCCCTGCAAACAAGTTACCCACTTTTGCCCCTCATGGGGGAGCCCCTGGTAGGAGATGTGGTGACTCAAGGCCCACCTGTCAGGTCAGATGACACTGAGTGTGTGCAGTCACCTTCTGCTGCTGTGACAACCTGCCTCCAGCAGGTTCTGGGAGGGGCCCCTGAGGCTCCAGCCCTGGGCTGGGCTCCTCGCCCACCTTTAGAAACCCAGCTTCTTGCCCATATCCAGAGTTGTTTTGGGGAGCAAAATCATGCATGTTCAGAGACTGAGATTGCATGGCTGAAGTTTATTTAACACGGGTTTGCTGAGGGAATTACACAAACCAATAGCATACAGGTTAATGTCTCTTCATAAGCCAATAAAAGTAACATACTCCAAAGCAATGATGGATTAATTACTCTCTTGTTCCAGGCAATGGGAGATAAAAGGGGAAAAGTCTGAGTTTAATTGAGGTGTACCTTTATGCTTGGCCGACTGAGAGCTGACGTCCAGCTGCCAGAGTGAAAAGTAAAAGTCCCTCGTTGCTATGTCATGTTGCTAGGGGAGGATGGCACCCGTTTGAAGGGCAAGGCCATCTCCTTGCGCCGCTGCATGGCTTTTCACACTGCCAGTAAGAGTCACCTTTACAGAGGGAGGTGCTTATGCCCCAAAGGTCTTCAGAGAGGTTTTTAAGTCAGCAGGGCGTCGCCTTGCCCAGACTGAAACTCAGATATGCCTCACAAACTCACAGTATTTATAGTCTGAATGTCCACTTGCCATAGCAGCTCCTCCACATGTTCTTATGGATGAGCCCCCAGGCCGGGCTCTGGGCAGCTCAGCTACTGAGTGCTTCTCAGCGACAGTAAGCAAGGACGTCCTGACACAACTGACTTCATTCTTACATCAGAACCACCTTACTTCTTAAAGCAACTTTTTTGGGTCTTTGCCATAAACAGGTGAGCTAAAACAACTTCAGTTGAGTCATAAACAAGTGGATTTGAAATCTATCAAACAGTACACACCCTGAAAGGATGATTAGCTCCTCTCTTCTTTGGCAGCCTGGTCTCCCATACCCAAGAGCAAGGTCGCCCAAGCATATGCAACCCACTGACAAAGAGCCAGGGACCACCAAGGGCTGCTGTGTGGGCTCCTATCCCCACCCCCACCCCACCCCACCCACTGCCTTACCGGCCAGTGGCGTCAGGAGAAACTCTTACACATTAACAAGGTTTATGCCTGACTATGACGATTGAGCGAGCATTCTTGGGGCATGGATCATCCACATAAGTGAATTCTCCAAATATATAAATTTAATTACATCACATTCCAATTTTTATTGTATTAATTTTAACTAATTTCTATTTTATCAAATGTATTAAAATAATCCATGCATATGGTTTAAATATCAATAATGCAGAAAGCCTTGGCTGGTGTGCTCAGTGGTTAGAGTGTTGACCTGCACACAGAAGGGTTAAGGGCTCGATTCTCAGTCAAAGATATGTACCTGGGTTGCAGGTGTGGGAGGCAACCAATCTATATGTCTCTCTCACATCGATGTTTCTCTCTCTTTTTTTTCTCCCTCTCCCTCTCTTTCTCCCTCCCTCCCTCCTTCCACTCTTTCTGAAAATCAAAGAAAAAAAAATACCCTCCTGTGAGCATTAACAAACAAAAAAAGTAGCGCAGAGAGGCTCATAATTAAAACCCCCTCCCACCTTTTTCAGTCCCACATTCTCTAGAGGTAGCCTCTTTCTTTCCATCCTCTCATTCGTTTCTATTTCTGTTTATATTGTTATTTCTTGATTTACCAGTTTTAGACTAATCTGTTGACTCCTTGTAGATGAGATGCACTTTCCTTCAGAACTCCAATCTCCACTCCCCACCCTTCCAATAGGAATATAACATGAGTTTTGGTTAAAACAATAGTGAATGTAGACAGTCTTCACTGCTGAACTAAGGAGTATGTTGTGTGTGCTTGTGTTCTGGAAAAAAATGTATGTTCTTTGATAATTCTCTCTTTTATCTGTTGGGCCTACTGGATTAACCTTCTAATTTTTTAAAACCATTTTTTCTCTTGTTTACCCTCCCTTTGCCTTTTGGGTTTACTTCTTTGGGAAATCTTACTCGACTTTATCCTCCAACCCTTCTGCTGATTTCTTTTTTTAATTTTTGCTTTCTTGTTTATTTTTTATTTTTTTAAGAATAATTATCTTTTTTAAAAAATATTTTTTTATTGGCTTCAGAGAGGAAAGGAGAGAAAGAGAGAGATAGAAACATCAATGATGAGAATGGCTGCCTCCTGCACGCCCCCCACTGGGGATCAAACCCGCAACCCGGGCATGTGCCCCGACTGGGGATGGAACCGTGACTCCTGGTTCATAAGTCGACACTCAACCACTGAGCCATGCCAGCCAGGCCGCTTTCTTATTTTTAATATACAATGCTCATTCTTGCTTTCTAACTGTTCCTTTTTCA